GTGAGGTCTCTCATCTGTCTAGAGCTCACCAATTAGGCTGGGCTGGCCGGCCAGTGAGCCCCAGGATTCTGCCTGTCACTGCCTCCCCAGCAATAGGACAGCTGTATGCCATATGCCCAGTTATTTTGTTTTGTGTTTTTACATGGGGTCTGGGGACTGAAGTCAGGACCTCCTGCTTACAAGGCAAGCAATGTGCTGACTAAGCTCTCTCCCCAGGCCAGGTGAAGTTGCTTGGGTGTGTTTAGAATTATATTTTTGTTTTTCTGGATGCATTTTCCTGCACTGCCATCCCTTTGGCCTCAGAAGCATCACAGATTAAACATAAGGAATCACTGCTTGGCGCTGAAGGGCGTGGCTGGCCCAGTTTCTCCCCGTGGACTGGGATGGGCTTATGCAGTACTACTGACCCTACACCCATTCTCATAAGCTCACTAGGTCTTCAATGACTCTTGAGGACACAGAGGGAGGCGTGGGGTTCTTCACCTGTTGCTTAGAGGCTGCCAGGGCATCCATGAGCCTCTTGAAACCATGAGCTGGACAAAAGCTGGTGTTTCTCTGTTCCCTTTCCCAGAGTGAGTTCATGAAGCCTTTATCAGAATGGCGGGAGGCCAACACAGATGACCGTTAGCATTGTACCCTGAAAGCACCCATCTTGTCATACAGTTTCACAAAGGACCAGAGGGCTGCTGTCACATAGAGGGAAGAGAATATTGGCCTAAAGAAAACAGTAATGCTTTACAGACTTCCAAGAGCTGATGGAATTGCTCGTGGGCAGTGTTCTCTGTCAGAGGTTTCCAGGTCAGGATGAATGGTAGAGAATATGCCTCCTGTAAGGTTTAAAAAAGGAAAACAAGGAAATAGGGAAGGAAGAGAAGAAAGAGGAGGAGAATGAACAGGAGGAGAAGGAAGAGGAGGAGGAGGAAAGAAAATATCCTGGCTTAACTTTAACAATGGTAGCTTTTGCTTTGCTGTAATGGTAGAAAAAATAAAATAATACAAAAAAACCACAACGTGTCCCCAGCTGGCATGGAGCAAGCATACATTCCCCTTATCTACTTCCCTGTTCTTCCAAATGCCTGTGCTTCCAAATGTGAGGTAAAGGATGCTGTTTTCCATTCCCCCAGATTTCAATGGTCAGCTCAGACCACTGCAGGTAGCATCAAGAGCTGTGTGAGTTGCTGTCCTGGTTTCCCTCCCCTTTCCTTCCAGCCCCTCCCTTTCCTGCTTTCCCCTCCCCTCCCCTTCCTTCTCTCTCCTTCTCTCTCTCTCTCTCTCCCCCTCCCTTCCTTGTTTTTCTTTCCTTTCTCTTCTGTATTTTTGTTAATGGCCCCTTCTCTTTCTTCCCTGTTTGGCGTGTTTTCCAGCACCAGACCTAGACACTTAGCCTTGTCAGCATGTCCGATGAGTGGCTGCTGTAGCTGCTGCTGTCATCTATCTCACCCTGGCCTTTGCTGTTGCTGCCTTGTCACTCCTGACTTGTGTCACTCCTCTCTTGCTTCCAAGCTTTTGCTAGACAAGAACAGGCCAGCCTGGGAAAGGAGATGCACATGAGCCGAGGCTATCTCGGCAGGACCTCTCCAAGGGACTCTTTCTGTCAGCACCACACAGATTCTAGAACTGTACGTTTTGCTTTTGGTTCACTTTGAGACAGAATCTCATGGAGCCCATGCTGACCTTGGTCTCCCTGGGTAACCAAGGATAATCCTCCTGCCTCCACCTATAGGATACTGGAATCATAGGTATGTACCAATTTATTGAGTTTATGTGGTGCTGGGGGAAATGAGGTTTTGAGAATACTAGCAGCTGAGTCACATGCTCAGCCCCTTGATTTCCCTTGATGTACCTCTTTTCCTCCAATTAATTCTGACTCAGGAATCTTAGTCTCTCCACTGTACACCAAAATCATCTGTGTAGCTTCCAAACATCCTGAGGCCTGGGGCTGGAGAGAGGCTCTGTGGTTAAGAGATTGTAGTTCAGTTTCCAGAACTCATACCTAGAATCTCCCAACCACCTATAACTCCATCTCCAGAGGGGCTCCAACTCCCTCTCTGACTCCCAAACATACCCACACCCTTATGAGCACAGAGACTTTTCTATTGCTGTGACTACAACAATTTACTAAAGAAAGTGCTTAATCTGGCTTATGGTTTTAGAGGGTCAGAGTCCATAATGGCAGAACAAAGGCATGGTGGCAGGAATAGCCGGGAGTTCAGATCTTGAGCCACAAGTAGGAGGCAGAGAAAGCCACACTGGGAATGATGCTAGTTTTTTTTTTTAAACCTCAAATCTCACCACACATTTCTTCCAAAACCAAACTGAACCTCCTAATTTTTCCCCAGAAGTTTCATCAATAAGGGGACAAGTATTCAAATATATGAGCCTATGGGACCATTCTCATTCAAACCATCACACTTACACATAAATAAAATAAATCTTGAAGAAGAAGAAGGACAAGGAGGAAAAGGAAGAGGAGGAGGAGGAGGAGGAGGAGGAGGAGGAGGAGAAGAAGAAGAAGAAGAAGAAGAAGAAGAAGAAGAAGAAGAAGAAG